GGCTTGGACACCTTGTCGCACATCTCTAGCGGATGGAGAGATTCTAGGGTGTCTACGGGAGAGATTTCGGCAGAAGCTGTCAAAGAATCCCAGCTGCTCGAGTCGCTCGTCAAGGAGGGCAAGACTGGCAAGAAGAGCGGAAAGGGAGGCTTCCATCCGCAGTAGACGCCATCATTGTGTAGAACCTCCAAGCTCTGCATTACGGCTCAGAAAGCGGTCGCAATTCATGTCAAAGCCGTTTGAAATACTGCATACATCCGGTCGGTCATTCGCACGAATCGGTGTCGAGCGTGTAAAGGCTAAACTTGAGCGCACAAGGGAAGTCCGAGCACGCGATCCAACAGGCATTACACTCGCTCGGATGTGTACGGATTAGTGGTGTCGATCCGCCAAGAGCCTTCACGTCAGGCACTCGTCTCAATAGCGCAATAAGGGCATTCGATTGTCGAGGTGAGCATGTTGCAGCATGCAACTTGCTAGATGACGTCTCCTTCCACAGCCCCTTCCCTCTTTGCAAGTCCCCAGTAGCTTTCCATTCTCGGGCCCAAAACCTCCTTGGCCTCCGCATCCGACTCGACGTTCCTTAGAACAAAGCCTTTTGAGATCAATCTCTCCCTGATGGGTCCCTCGAACAACAGGGAGCAATAATTCGAGCTCCAGTCGATAGCCTCCAGCTGTGATTGTTGTTGCTGTTGCTGCGTCGAGCCGCCAACATGTTGCGCTTCGTCCGGCTCCTCCTCCTCCTCCTCCTCGTCCGCTTCTTCCCCTCGCACGCGTCCGGGATCGTTCCAGTTGATACGATGCGTCATCAACCTCTTGTAACCCTTTATCCCTTTGCTTGCTCCTTCCACTACCACCAACGCGAACGAAGGATGAAAGATGCAAAGCCCCGTGAGACCGAACTGCTTCGCATTGGCTCGCACTTTGAACTTGTGCGAAGGCGACGCGAGATGCAGGATTCTGCATCGCAGGCGAGAGGAAACGGATCAGATTCTGTTTGTTTACTAACACGCACCCCTATCGAAGCCACACCGCGACTCACTTGTACACACTGACAAAGACGCCTTTCATCTCGTCTTTTTGTCTCTTGCCCTCCTCCTTGAGCCACCTCTCATCCTTTGTCAGCTTTCTCTCCTTATTGGCTCTCTCGTGTGCCTCTTTTCTCGCTGCAACCTCTCTCCTGACCTTCGCTTCCACCTTTGTCGGATCAGCAACCGCTTCGCTCGTCAGAACCCTCATAAGGTTGCTCAATTTTACCTTGGGTGGGTCAGGTGGCAAGAGCCCCATCTTGATACGATCTCTGCGATCTTGCAACGTCACTGCTCTTCTTTGCTTCCGCATCTTCTTCATCTCTTTCTTGGTCAACATCACTCCTCGCGGTTCGACTGTGATCTTGTCGGTGGGAGCTGGAATCGGAATGGGATGCTGCACGTAAGAGTCGATTGGCGTACCTGCGCCGATCAGCAGCACGCCAGCGGCATCGTTGGTTGGCACTTCGGGAAGTGGCGGAGGAAGACCATATGAAGAGGCAGAGTCTTCGGGAAAAAGTGACACTGCGTCGTACGAGGAGGCGGGAAGATATGCCGCATCCCACCACTCGACTTCAGGAGGAGGTTCTTTCTGCGAAGTGAATCACGAGACCACATTTCGATCATCAGTAGGAAGCTCCGAGGTATGTTCGCTTCGAGCCGACCATGTCGTAAGCTCATGCGGCACTCACCCTCAGGGCTCTTTCCCCTTCGAGGCCCTCCTCCAATCCGGCCTTTCGAGTGGACTCTTGAATCCTTAGCTTAAGCTGTTCAAGCTTGTGTTCCCTTCTAAGCTCCTCAGCTTCTTTGATATGCCTTCCTGGCCTATGAAAGGTCAAAGGGCGATGCTGCGACTTTCTAGATGCCGATAGGCCGGAATCTGCGCCTGCTCCGTCGGAGGGTTGGGTATGAGACAAGTACGGGTTGATCTTCTCTGCTGGCGGGGCACTCAGTGAACTCAAGGCGCTGCCGACGCTCGAAGAGACGCCTGCCGCACCAGAGCCGCCCAATCGAGCATTCGCTCCAACACTGCTAAATTTGGGGAGGTTCTGCCCAGCTTGTCGATGAGCGTAGGGGTTACGTGAAGTGCTTGGGGTGGAGCTCGACGCGCCAGCACTTCCTCCGTTGGCAGCACCAGACG